GACCTCCGTAGCCAAACCTTCAAAATACTATCAGCAATCTGCGCGTCATTCTACCATCCTCGCACTGCGTCGGAGCGACAATGAAGATGGGAGGATGTAAGAGAAGATGCATGAGGTTCAAACAAGACTTTGACTTGCAAAGCGTGACTTTCTCAGGGGTGCAGGGGTAAATCGCGCTAGTCCCAAAGCAGCCAAGCTCGCCCATCTCACTCCCCCGACCTCCCAGCTCCACCAAAATCTCCCAAACTTCAAAAAATCATATCTCAACAACCACAACCTCAAATATTATGATATAGATATCAATAAAAGCGCAGAAAGCGCAAAAATAGGGGCCTAACCGGGAGTTGAGAGAGAAGGTTCGGGTTGGATTGGAAGGAGTGGCTTTGGAGAAGTGAAAGTGGATCTTCCACTGAGAGCTTTTCTTTTCTTTCTTCTCTCTCCCTCGCCGCGGTTGTAGGCGCCCTATGATTGCAGTGTCTCACGGTAACCTCACTGCTGTAAGTTTTCTCCTTCCTTCTCCTACCTTCTTATTTCTGGGCTTCTTCAGCTTCACCTTTCCTACCTAACTTCCTCTTTGGTTTGACAGCTGTCGAATCCTTTCCCCGTGTCTCCAATTCCAACCGTATGCTCAACAATGGCGACTACCTGCAAGTGGGGCGATATCCAAGATCTACTCAAATTCAACACTGAGAAAGATCTCCAAGAGCAATTTCTCCACACTGAAAGCTTTCTCGACGCTTGGGCAACTTTCCGAGATGACTTTCTATGGGCGCAATCGCCCGCCTCTTTGGCCTCAGCTGAGGCTGAGGCTGACAAGAGTGGAAGAGGTCCGAATGCTGCTCGGGTTGAAAAGCTGCTACAAGACTGGATGGATGGCAACCAGCTACAGTTCAATCGCCACAGATCTCTCCCAACATTTGGTCCGCCTGAGTTCTATGCGCACTTCATTATTTCACTCTACAACAATTTCGCGACACCCGATTCAATCTTCGAGCAACTACCCACGAGCATGTTTGACCTTCTTAAGATATTCCACAAGCTCCTCATCAAGCTCCGCGCAGGTTACGCGCACAGCAGAAAAGACACGTGGTGCCGGGCTATTGAAAAGCTCCGGCCATCAACCAAACATCCGAAAGAGTCCAGGAAATTTCTTGGAGAGCAGGCCGTCGGCGGAGCCTCCTCGAGGGAACGCCATCACCTGTCCGTCGCAGTAGCTCCAAATCAAGAATTGAGCTTTTGGCACGAAAACGACCGCAAAAGGGATTGGGTTAGCATGCACCAAGAGCTGGGGGAAATCATGGGAGGCAAACGAAGGGGCGAGTTGGACCCTAACAGGATACATGGTGCCACAGCAGAGGAGCGTGAGAAGTCTCTCGAAGAATTGATTGATCAAACTCCCGGACCCCGTCGCGAGAAATTTACCCTGTGCCGCACTATTGCGAAGTCAGGCTTTCAGACTGAGTTCGATCATATCAGCGACACCTGGGGCGTAGAGCGTCTCAACAGGGTGAACAACCTGGAGGACTTGACTGCTGCATCAAGGGAGCCACCGTCAGAAGCGACTGGCGTCGACACCGAGGAACACCACGCTAAGAAGATGATGCATCTTGAGCAGTTTGTTCCCATGACTTCGGACGAGCTCGGTGAGCATGATCAGAATCTGGGCCAGCTTCAAGTCTTTGCCGATGTTGGGTTTACCCTCGAGCACGCGAAATCATTTCTTGATATCCCGCTATTCCAACAATTTCCTCGACTACGCGACATGAAACATCAAGTATCACTACTGGATCATCAGATACTCGGCATCGCATGGATGGTGAAAAAGCTTGAGCGAGCTCCTCGTTCAGTCATCCTGGCTGATACGATGGGACTGGGCAAAACTATTCAAAGTATATGTACCTATCTCGCGGTTCTCAGAGCAAGACTACTTTGCGATCCAGCCAAAGTGGAAGAGAAATATGGGCCAGACGGCATTTGCTGCATTATTGTACCCAGCGGACTTGTCAATCAATGGGAAGCCGATATTCGTCAAATTCTTCCCGATACTATCCAAGTCCAGGTCTACGGCAGGGATACGAAAGCGAAACTTTCTCGATCTGATCCGTTCTTCGTGAGCCCAGGCCGAAAGTGCGAGCGGGTTCTTCTCTGTTCGCTTGACACGCTCGTCTCGCGCCATTCTCAAACCAACTGGGAAAAGCTGTCCGCGCGTGATCGTATTTCAGAGGTGTGGGACAATGCCGAGGTCAATATCAACGGACTCGTCTGGTTCCGGATCATCGACGAGGCACACAATCTGAAAGCAGGGGAAGCATCTCCGAGATTCACGATGGTCCAAAACCTTTCGACCTTTCTTCTCTGTTGCATTGACAGGGTCGCCGATTACCAATGACGAAAACGATGCTCCAGGTATCTTGCATCTTGTCGTCCCGAAAGACAATCCTTGGGACGAATTGGGCGCTGACAAGTCCGTCAATCCTTTTGTTGAATTTGATACTACGGATCCTCGAGCAATCCTTTGTTGCACACCCAACGCAGCTAAATTCTGGAAGGGAAAAGATCGAAAGACGAAAGGAAAATACCTCCGCAAGGCTTTCCTGCAAATCCTGCTATCACGCAATTACCAGACCTCGATCAACGACAAGATGATCGGAGACCTTGTGCCACCGATGAAAGTCCGGCAAGTCGCAATCCATGTGAACTCCAACGTTGCTTCAAGGATACAGAATATTCACACAGACTATGGCACGAAACTTGTCGAACTCGACCGGCAGTCTGGGCAGACAAAACTGAAGTATCATCCATCCATCCATCGCAAAGTCTCTATGGAGACGCTTTTCTTTGGCTTCAAATATCTGAAGTGGAATGGCACTTCACAACTTCAATCAGTTCGGAAAGAATGCGACAAGAGTCCCTCCCGCGATCGCTTATCGCAATTAATGAAGAAGCTGCATGATCACATTGTTAAAGGCGGCGAGGCTGGTCCAGATAAATATCCCTTGGGTTTCGATCCATACAACGTCTCTCACGAAGAGCTTCTCACTCAGGTGGCGGCGCAATCTCCTAAATTGCAATATCTAGCGTTTGATGCTGGCCTGAATGTTCACCTTCTGGATAACAAGATGGTGCTTTGGGTTGCATGGCCTTGGCCACAACTCTTGGTTGAATACTGGTTGCGAGCCCTCGACATTCACGCGGAAAGCTAACACGCCGGGTTAGACTCATCCCAGATGACAGATCTCGTCAAGAGGTTCACGCATTCAGCTCGAAATGTGATGGTCTGGGTTGGGTCCTACGAAATGGGGGCCGAAGGAACAAACCTTCAACGTGGGGCAGCAATTGTGGTATGTCTGCAACACGATCTTTCCGAGGCGATCCAGGACCAAGCTATCCTTCGGACTTGCAGGCTCGGCCAGAAGAAAAATCAGCATGTGGCGTACTATCTACTGGAAGGTTCCACGGATCTGGCCCTGATGATGTGGCGGCTGAAGAAGGACTACGTGATGAAGTGGGCTTTCCTAGGAACGGGCCAAGATACAGATGATTTGGAACTGACAAGCATCAAGCTGGGCTCTGACGATGATGAGGAAAGGGTAGTCAATCTCCAAAAGTTTCTTGTAGGAGGCGGAGGGACGATGGCAGATCTCGATGCGGTACTGGCGCGCAATTCGGACAAGAGTACCGGAAAAGGACAGGAGACGCGAGGAGAGAAGGAAGAGACTCCAAGCCTTGATCTCTTATCTGTGATTCGAGTCAAGATTATTGAAGCTTCAATGAAAGGCGCATCGTGGGATGAGCCAGATATATGGAAACTGAGATCGGACTATGTCTTCGCATACCAAGCTTGCATGCAGCAAGGGAACGATCTGAGCCAGTTTGAAACAATCGATGCTCTGCAAGAGGAGTTCGATTAGGTTTTGGAGTTGATGGGACAGAACGGGCCTCGTGCGAAAGGTACTGGGCAGTTACCTTTGCATTCAATGGAGAGCAAGACGAAAAATTGTCAAAGCACGATTTGCTTGGGAGATATAGAATTGGGAGTTGATAGTAGGGCCAGCTAGCTCATTAATCAATCCCATTCTTTTTCATACTGTCGTAATGTAATGATGGAACGTAAAATGATATTCAGGATGATTCGAGAGATAGGGAGAATCTAGTATCAAACCTGGTGACAGGAGCGACAGCGAAAGAAGATCTGCGAATCAATCCACAGGGAAGATCATAGAAAGCAGTGAAGAACTGAATGTGTAGAGATGCTTGTGTCTCTGAAGATACAAAGGACTCTGCTAAATACACAAAAGGCCGCGCGAGCGCATGAATGCGAGTGCCAAGAAGGAAATGAATGTTACCATAGAAATTGTACTTCATGCAAACCTTCACCGATAGCAGGTCTAACCTTGATAAGGATAAGCAAGGTTATCCTTCAATACAAGACTCCGCTGAGTAGGGATTCAGTGAAGTATTCAGCTGCAATAGTCCACCTATCAGGTTTAACATCTAGACTGAAATAAGTACAAAACCAACCTGCAAGAGAGCAAATTCAATGTCCTACTAACCTGGTCGAAGAAAGTTAGGTTCGGAAAAGGCGCAAGATTACTAGAGCTAATAGAATATCAAGTATCTACGGAGGGTAAATGAAACCTCGAGACTTAGAGGATAAATCGAACGTCCACGGAGGGCAATTCGAATGTCCATGTCTACTTACGGAGGGCAAATCGAGATATCCACGGAGGGTAAATCGAATGTCTACGGAGGGCAAATCGAATGTCGAGATATCTACGGAGGGCAAATCGAGTGTCCACGGAGGGCAAATCGAATATCCATGTCTACAGAGGGCAAATCGAAGGTCCACGGAGGGCAAATCGAATGTCTACTTACGGAAGGCAAATTTAATGTCCGAAAGACACTTCGAAGTAACAATAGAGCGTGAAAACTGCCACAACCTTGTCCTGAAAGAAGGGATAAGATAAGAATATTATTCTTTTTGATCAGGGCAAAAAAAAGGGTTTAGCCGTGGATTGAACACGGGACCTGTCACATTTTAGAGCTTTGCTCTTGGGCAAAGAGGACCCGAAGCGACAATCATACCACTAGACCACTAAACCAACGTTTTCACAGAACAAAAATTGTCATTGCTATATTCCTTCCATCCGGCCGACTTTGTTGGAAGTAAATTTATGGCAACTCGCTCCGACCATAGAGCAATCCAGTTTGCCTCCGCCATGACAGGCTTTAGGAATAGGGACTAACTTTTAAAACTTGGGAGCCTGATTGAGTGCAAATGTTTTGATTCTGACAAGCTACCTAGACTTTTTTCCTCGTGGATCGTTGTCCACCAGTGCACCGCATTGTACTGTACCCCATAGATTGTGCGGGTGTGCGGGTGTGCGGGGTGCTTGTAACCGGGTGTCGGAAGTCGCCGAAACGGGTCTCCCATGCCCGTCCGTATTTCCGCAGTTTTCAAGCAACTACCTAAGCCAGTCGCATTTCATCCCTCAAGCAAATTCCATGTGCGCACCTGCCAGCACTAGGTACTCTGAACCACATAACACCTCCTATAGTATTTGAATAAAGAATCTTGAGGGCAAGATTGGGGACCTCGTCTCGCATCCGAGGTCTACGTCTACCTAGTTAAAGATCAGTTAATACATTTCAGGCATGGAAAGCAGGCGCTTACTTTTTCAAAGAAACGCCCAGGTGGCCATTTCCGTCTCTGATGACAGCCCATTTTGTAGCAAGAGGTTGAGGAACATCCATCACCAGCAGGAGAGGACTAGCGAACATCAAGATTGCCCCTACTGATCTTCGAAATCCTCCGACGGGATATCTAGGTCTTCATCATACGCCTCCTCATCATCCTCATCATCCTCATCATCAGTATCCAAGACCACAATCTTTCGCTTCTTGGTCTTTCGCTCAGATTGACCGGCTTCGTTGGCTTCGTTGGCTTGGTCGGCTTGGTCGGCTTCGTCGGCTTCGTCGGCTTGGTTGGCTTGGTTGGCTTGGTCGGCTTGGTTGGTTTGGTCGGCTTGGTTGGCTTGGTCGGTTTTCGGGCGCTTGACGAAGCGGGCGACTTTGAAGAAGATTGCCTCTTTCTCTGTAGAATGTGAGTACTAGGTCTATCCCTTTAACCGTCACATTTATTACCTTGTACCGAGAGTTTCTTCCAAGTCTCCTCCTCATTTCCGATGGCCTGGCCCATATATGAAACAAAGTTTCTGAAGTTGATTTCGAACTTTGTTGATTTCGAAAGTGTCAAGTCCTTAGGGTACTTTACGAGGAAATCCCGTCCGTGGGACTTTGCCTCCTTCACCAAGTCGGTATCGAGGTCCTTGATAAGAGCATCTCGTTTGCGGTTATTGTTCTTGACCAAGCCAACATTGGGGTTAACGCCGTTCGCCTTCAAGAGCAAGTCCAACTTCTTTGTGATTTCATCGAGCTTCTTCTCCGCCTTCAATGCGTGTTTGGCGAGGATGTCGGTCCGGGCAACGAGGACATTACCTTTATCAGGATAGCCATATCGGAACTGACTAGCGGTTAGCTTGTGAACAACCAGCTTACGCCGGGTTTAGCGTCGAGTAAGTACGGACTCCGGGCCATAAGTCCATTTTCGTGAAATCTCCGTCTGGGAACTGGTCCTCATCGGAGTCTGGGTGTTCTACCATACTTTCGGTGCGTTCAGGGTCTATGCCCTTCCGTGTTTCCTTGATAAATAAATCCAGCTTCTTTTCCACTTTCAGTGCGTGCATGGCGATGATGTCGGTCCGGGCGACGAGGACATCGCCTTTATCAGGAAAGCCATGTTTGAACTAACTAGTTGTTAGCTTGTAGTCAAGTAATTAGAGCCGAGTTCGACGTCGAGTAAGTACGTACTCCGGGCCATATTTCCGTTTTCGTGAAGTCACCGTCTGGGAGCTGGTCCTCAACGGAGTCTGGACGGAGGTCTGCCATAATCTGGACGCGCTTAGGTAATCACGAGCTAGAATAGTCAGATGCGGATTCGAAGAACTGGTGAGAGGATCCTTTCTAGGCAAGAGAGGGCATGGGTTTGGAAGAGGAGTGAGAAAAGTCTGAAGACGTAGAACCACGCCAAGACTTCACTTGCAGCACGTGGATCGAGAAAATATAGGGAAAAAGTGAGTTCAACCCAGTAACAGTGCCCGGCTTAGGCTGGATACGCTACCTCTTCAACCTTTCTCAACCTCAGCCCACCCTCTCCCATACTACATCCAGCCTCTCTCAACCTCAGCCCACCCTCTCCCATACTACATCCAACCTTTCTCAACCTCAAAACACCCTCTCCCATACTACATCCAACCTCCTCCCTGTTCCGTCTCCTCTCACCCCAACTTCAAACCCGTCGCTATGGCATCGGCATCCTCGAAGCCACGGCTCCCTGTTCCCAACTACCTTCCTCCGGAGCAAGGCCAACCCTCAGCTCGCGCACACTATGTTCAGTCAGTGCAGCCGCCCCTCACGGCCTTCGAGGCGTTCATGTTGTCTTTGAAGCAGCAGGTCCCACAGTCACAGTGTGAAGACAAGAGATTGCTAGAGAGCGTTGTGCGAGGTGCAGAGGTCTCAAACGGCAAAAAGCTCTCAATTCTGTGCAGAACCATTGGGGTTTCGCTCGGACTAGTGGACAACTCTGGAGCTTTCTTCCACAGACTTGAGGACGCAGGGAAGTGGCCGATTCTCGTGGGATTGCAAGACGGCATATGGTCATCGGTGGGCTGGCAGCAGGAAGCTCCCAAGGCAACATGGGAAGATGGCCTCCCAGGAGGATTTGCCTCTCTACTCGATTCGGAGAGACCTCAGTTTGCGGAATACCTCAAGAACTTGGAGGCCATGCAACAACCACCACAAGGGGTCACCATTGACCCTTTCCAGGGTGCAATTGATCAAGGGGCCCCAAATGATCTGTATGCCCTCTGGCCCGCGCAAGCATTGCCCGGAGAAGAGACCTCGAAAATTCCGCCAATGCGAGCAGGAGAGGTCTGGGCTCTTCGAGGCAAATATATCGACTTTTGCCGAGAGCAATCCAACGACTATCTCTCATTGACTGAATTCGCTTGCCATTGGTATGCTTTCAAAGCAATGGACAACGCGGCCAATTCGTCTGAGCAAAAAGAGAGAGGCGATGCCAGGAGCAGCAAGTGGGCGAAATTGAGCTTGAACGAAGTCATTCGGTTTCGCAGGCAAAGCTCATGGATCAAAGAACGAGAAATTCTCACGGCAAGAATGAATCGATACTTTCCATATCCGGTCTCGTCTCCCTCAACAGCCTGGCTGAATGCGCTTGACCGGTGGCCGTTTATCTCAACATAGAGCCAAAATATGGCGTCGATATGATGGAGAATCCGAAAGTGAGGATGAAGATTCTGTGAGGGCCGGAATTTTGCCACCGCTGGGGACCGTCGATCGTGAAGGTGACAAGCTCCCCCTAGCCAAAGGTAAAGACAACTTTTGGGATCTTCGAACTCTCGACATTGCCGGCACTTTCTGCCTTTTGCACGAGCAAGAGTGCAACTCGGATCCGGTCGAGCCCAAGCAACAGAAATGCCTGATCCTGCCACCCCGAAGCTGGAATTGGATCAAGACATACAAACCGACAAACGATGAATGTTATTCGCCCTTCAAGCACGCAATGGAAGACGAAAATCTCGAAAAGGCGGTCAGACGCTGCGTACCTTGTGATCTCAAGTTTTCGGCCGCGTACAAACCTTCTGATCCTCCATCTGCGGTGGTTGAGCGCCTCATCATTTACTGTGGTCTCACCGCAATACAGGATAATGTTGAGAGAGTCCATGACGGAAATGTTGTCTTTTATATGCATGGGAGCAACACAATATTCTCCGGCAACACGAGGTTGCAAGAATCAGAATACCTACCCGCCGTGAAAGCACTTCTTTGCAAGTTGGGCGCAATCAGAAGTCAAGCCGAATACGATGGAATCAAGCACGTGAAACATCCGTTTCCAACGTATGCGAATGTCCCCCCGACCGTTCTTCTGTTGATGTTGATAGACCGACTCGCATCAGAGAGTTGGGCTGACTGGACCGAAGACGGCATTCCCTGGCTTCCCTTTGTTGAAGCTCCGAATGCTACATACCTGGAAACTGTGGCGGAGAACTTTGCTGCGCAAGTCCTTTCGTCTGTCTTCGCTCGTGGTGATCGTGGAGATGGAATGTTGTTTCCCTGGAACAAACACATCCCCCCGGATATGGAAGGAGAAGATGCCGATGTCGATGAACCTGATGAGGATTCCGATGAAGATTCCATTGCATAGCCCGAAAAAGTGAATGATCAGAATCAATAGGCAGGAGCAAGGTGGAGCGACGAGCAAGGAAAGACAAGACAAAATAGTTGAGCAAAAGGTTCAAAGAAAAGAACTTGGAAATCAGAGTTGAAATCGGCAGGTTGAAGCTCAAACTTTCGAATTCTCAGAAAGTGCTGGCTCCTTTTCTGCAAGTTGCGAGGAATGCAGTTGCAAAAAGAGAATGAGCATGTCCCCAAGAGCCGAGAAAGACTCTTCACCTAGCTTGCTTGTTTTTCGCCTCTTGGGAGAAGGAATTAGGATACAAAAACACAGGCTCTGAGTATTCGATAGGGGTGCAGGTTGCCAATCAGTCATCTAAATAGAAACATTTCGGGCAAATCAAATGATGCTATGATAAACTTACGTGTATTACGTCGAGATGCAATCAACCACAAGTCCGCATACTAGAAGACATAGGAGTTCATCGTTCATCGGATACAACGATTCTTTAGAGAATGCCCGCCATATTGAATAAATAGTCTTTATCCTGGCAATCTTTAGGAAGCATTCAGAAGCTCACGAGGCAAAATACACACCACGGAGGCAAGCTATCAACAAGACTTACAAGCGGCGATACAAAAACGCGGAGCCTGGAAGCAAATAGCATTAAGAAGAGTAGTGTGACGGAATTGACAGGCAGGCGTCACGTGAGTGAGAGTCACAAGTAGGATGAATCTTTTACTAATCAGGGGCTAAGAAAGGTACTCTGACACCCATGGAGAAGAGTAGATTGAACAAAACATAATCCAGGAGCTCGTTCATATTTGAATACTAAGTCTAATACCACCT